ATCCTCCCTAGAAAGAGCTTTATTTCCTACTGTCTTCACTGGTGATGGATGGTGGAAACAACAAGTTTGACAGTGAAAGGCCTGCTTAACAGCGGTAAGTCCTTTTTTGTCAAGCTTGTCTATACTTGACTGTTGACCAAATTATATTCCCATTACCCCCCCCCCCCACCTCAATAATGACATGACGCCTGAGTATTGTCATTATTTCACTTCAACTTATAACATCGCCAGCATTATCATCACCTGTCTGCTGTTGAGGTGACAGAGACCGTACAGCCTGCCTTCTACCATCAGCCCTAGCAGGCTGCAACTCCCCCAAAGGCTTGTCACATTAATTAATTCCACTGGCCACGAACTCTGCTTTTTGCTGTGACAAAATGAAACAGAAAACAAATAACACCACAGAAAAACATCAACCACAATAACCATAGGGAAGAGAGGGAGGGAAAATACCTGTTCCTTTGCAAATGATGAGTACCCTCCCTTCTTCACCCCTTCTTATACAGGCCCATATTTGCTACAAATGTATCCCTCTATATCCCACCCATTACTGTGGGGCAGCAATCATGCTTCCTCTTCCTTGCAGCCCAGGGAATTCTGTTATCTCCATATATCTTTTGACTTTCCAACTTTTGGGTTGGAATTACAGTCAGTCTGAGTATTTCGCCAATCTAAACTAGTTTGCAAGTAGCTGTTAATTGGTAGTGTAACGTCCACCAAGCTCAAGCACACCACGCGTATGTCCTGGTATCTATCCCCTCTTCAAATATTCTAATTCTTTTATTAATTTACCTTAATTGTTTTAATCTTTCTTTTGTCATCATTAAAGGAATGATCCAAGCACAACAACAACTGCAGCAGGCTTTAGTGGTTATGGTGCCTGAAATACCCCAGTGCCACCCTCCCCAGTATAAGTAGTAAATCTGTTTTAGAATGATTTGACTTCTTACATGGGGTCTTCTGGGTGCTGCTACCTACCTATGGAGACGTAGGAAGCTCCAGTGGTGCAGGGCTTAACCCCTCCCTGTTACAGGTACCTCATCTCAGGATCCTATTTAAGCATTGTACTGCAGAGACCTCCAGATGGAAGGATTTCCCCAAGTGAGAAGCTCATTTAGCAGACAGAGTAGGACCTGCCAAAGATGGGGTACATTGGCGTTGTGGCAGGATTATACAATGTATGATCATATACTGTAACTAAACCCCCATTATATTTTTTTGCCTAGATTAGGTGTTTTTAATAAAACTGAAAATTGTTCAGCATTAAAATGACTGTTTAGTAGATAAGCGAGTGCGCTGGATTTTCATTTTTACATTCAAACACTACTCACAAACTTTGCAATGATGTGCAAAAGGTAAGGGGCGGGGCCTGACAGCCAAGATGGCTGCTCTCTGAAAGCTCCAGCACCAACAGACGAAAAAAACACTAATATTGACCAAACTACAGAAGCCAGCAGCATAAGGTGCT